GGGGCCCCCCGCCGCGCTACCGGCTGTAACGCCCGCCCCCCGCAGCCGCGGGAGCCGGGAGTTAACGGCTGCTCGGGGCCGGCCGGCGCCTCCGCGCCGCGAGGGCGTTTGGAGGGCGGCAGTTCGCCGTGGGAGTGGGGTTTCGACCTTCCTCATCGGCCGGGCGTCTCGAACAGCGGGGACGTGAATTTAAAAAGCAGCCACGCGGGGCGAAGAAATCCGCGCGAGGCTTTTAACTGGGGGTCGGGGGGGACCTTCCCGGCGAGTGGTGTGTTGCAAGTCGAGAGGGGTATCGCTGGAGAGGCGAGAGCAGCCTTCAGGGGAAAAACACCGATCTGCCGGAGTCTCCTTTTTTTTTTTTTTTTTTTTTTTAAATAATGTTTTTTTACTCCAGGCAAGGATGGTGTGGGCAGAAGTCGCTGCCCGTAGCGTTATCTGCGGTAGATAAGTTCGAACTGGATGGCGTTGTCGCAGGTTTGGTGAGCAGCAGCGTTGAAAAGTTAATTCCAGGTTCAGGTAATGGGTGCGCAGATGACTGACGGTGATCTGGTACGAACATAGCGAGCAGGCGAGCGAGGGATCGCTGGCAGGATGCACGTTGCTAATGAGAAGGCAATTGTTTACTGCGGCATAAAAAAGCTCCCTTAGGAATTGGTGGCAATTTAGGTGTGTGCAAAAGCTTACATTTTGCAATTTTGCTTGGTAGACAACAACTGAATGAACTTTGGTCCCTCCCCTTGGGAACAAAGACGAGGTACTTCTGACAATTAACATAAACCGGTTCAGTGACCTATTAATTAAAGTGAAGATGTGCTCTAGGGAGAGAAGGGAAATCCAGGCGGCTGAAAAAGGCGCCCTTGCAGAGCCGAGCTCCATTAAGGCCTTCGCCCCGCTGAGTGCTCTTGCACGTTCGGAGTTACGTGCGAGCAGTTAGTGGGACCGTTGCCATAATATCTGACAGTTGTTAAAGGCTTATATTGATAACCAACAGATGTATATGTAGCCTGCTTTTAGAGAAGATACTTTATCTTGGGAACTGGAGTGTTCTAGTAAGTTGTGTTCTCATGGAGACAAATAAGACCGATGCCGGCTTCCTTCTAAATCTCTCCACTGCGTTTCTCTTTTAACGCTGCCGTACCAAACCAGCTTGCCTGTCATTGTGCTTGTGCTGCCTTACCCCAAGAGAGATTTTGAAAGACTCCTATCAGCTGCAGGGTGGAAGCTGCAAATGGGAGGGGGGTAGAAATGAATGTCCATGGATTCAGGCACGGTGCTCCTAATGAGAAGCCCAGCTGTCCCCCTCCTTCATAATTCTCAGCTGCTGCAGTGGAGAAGGGGGGACAGGGTTTCGAGTACGGTGGTGTCCTGGGAGTCTGGTTTGCAAATTAGAGAGCCTCCCTCTCCGTGGCATTTGGCTAACTGGTAACGGAAAAGCATGAAACCCTCCACCCTCTGTCACAGGCAATAATGAGATGCTTGTTTCTTTTTCCAGACCCTTCTGAAACCTAGGAAAGCAAACCTTTACCCCCACCTCCATTGTTTCAAGTGGTCCTGCTGGATGAAATACAGAAATGGAAACTGAAGTTACTGCATGACAAAGCTAGAAATGTTGGCAAAGCTGTCTCAGCTGTTGTTGGCAGAGTGTTGTAGACGGCACCTAATTTGCTCATCTGCAGTCTAGAAAGGGATTTAAAAAAAAAAAAAAAATTAAAACATGCCTGGTAGGCCTCAGGGAGACCAGGGAAACTTTCTGTGTTACTGGCAAGTAGTTAATTGTTCGTGTTTTTTTATTTAAGTATCCAGAAAGTTAGCATCACCTTTTGTCAAACTTGAAATTCATGTTAACTCGATAGAGTTATTTGAAGATAGTGGTTGGATATCTTTGCACTTTTACACATTGAGTAGTACAAACTTGTATTTTGAGCTGCAAAATCCCCACGTTTTGACAGTACTTTTTACATAGTTTTTCATAGTACTTTTTGCACCCTGTCTATTCACCGAGTTTCCTTGGTATGGACGTAGCGAAGTTGATTGTTTGTCCGTGCTGTTTTCTCTGCGTCGGTGGTACTGTTGTCTTCTTGTGAACCGACTCACAATTTTGACCTCGCAATAAAGATGCGGCAGATGAAGATTGTCGTTGGGCACTTAGACTAGAAATGTTTTCTAAATTGCAGTGAACCTGTCCGCAGGTTTAATGTCACTAACTTGGCTGTAGTTTGTCAGTTTGACACTCAAGTACGGTATCAAAAGCCGTGTTCTGCTTGCAGACTTCTTGCTTGTTGTCAAATAACAGGGCGATTGTGCTTGGATAACACAGGGTGGTTGGGGCCCCCCTCGCGGGCCCGTTGCACGGTCCTTGTCCGCTGACAAATCCATTGCTATTCTTTGCTGTTGCTAGGGCCAGTGACATATAAAGCTACAAGGGGGGGGGGGGGGGGGTAAATCAAGGGAAACCATTGTTTTCTCTCGTTATGGGTAACGTTATAAAAAGACTGTCTTGTGAGAAGTCACTGAATTAATACAGCTCAGTTTTCACAGCAGTTGTTATTTTCAGTGCCACTATTTTCTCTTTCTGATCTGTTTCTTCCTTTCTGAAAAGACTTTATAAACCTCTCCAATGGTTGAATAGGTTATCCTGAATCTTAAAAAAAAAACCCCAAATTTAAAAATGGGAATTGGACTAGAAAATATCTTCAGTTCCAGAAAAATTCAGCTTGATAAGTTCTCTCTAAAAGGAAATTACAGCATAGTTGCAGGTACTTTAGCTTACATCTCCAAGGAAAAAAATTAAAGATAGTTCTGGTAGGCGTGCCATATGGTAACATGCTTGTGTTATCCTACGCTGGCAAAACTTACATAAAAAAGAAGCTAGATGAAAACCACTTATTTTTAAAAGGAAAAGATTCAGTTTTATTATTGACGTCTTTTCATTAAAAAAAAAAAAAAGCCATATACGTGTTAGTAAATCCCTCTCAGAAAATTCCAGTGTATAGTTTTTTAAAATGAGGTTCATCTAAGTAGTCGTAACTGATGAGACTTTGAAAGACTAGGAGCTGACGGAAACAGCAAGGAAGGGTGAGGACGAGTAGCTGTTGTTTGGGGTGCATGTGTTTATGAATCAATGTAAAGGTAATGTGTAAACCAAATTGGGGGAGAGATGTGCTCTTCCTTCTCTGTCTTGTTATACAGCGGAGCCTGGCAGCTGCTTCTGATGGTGCGCGTGGGTTAATTTTTTTTTTTAATTTAATTAAAATCATAGTTTGTGTGTATATGTATGTGCAGAAGGTGCAGTGGGACGTTACTTTCTTTTTTTTCCCTTACATCTGTTGCAGAGTAATAACAAAATCAGAGCTGGTGTGTTTGTTTCCAGATCAACAAGCATTGTGGCCTTCCTGATTTCCCGGTCTGCTCCTGCTCTGGAAGAAAAGAACATCATGACTATTTGTTGTTTCCCCGTCCTCAGCTTTCCTCGATGATGAGTTGCTGCTACTTACCAAATGAAAGCCTTTTCTAAAGTGGGCAGTGTTTTTCAGCTTACTCTAGCTGGAGAGCAACCGAGTGCTTCACGAGTGCTCCTTCTGTAGTTAAAAGTTGGAGATGTGGTATTTATCTCCTCTTTATCAAGGACTCCCACAGACTGTTAGGCACTTGTAAACTGGAGTTTCTGTCACTGAAAATCAACGTGCAGGCATTTACAAACTGTTAGAAATGGGAAATATATGCTTGTCAAACATTCAGATGTTTTTCTCCTTGTATTTTAATGTACTGGTT